ATCAAATTCTCCTAGATATTATTTATAATAATCTGATTTTCGATTTTTACAGAAAAGGGTAAATAAATCTGATTTTCATCCCTAGCGGATTTTGTGACATCGTTTTACAGAATGTCTGCAACATGTGAATTTTATTTCTTCCCTACCTGAGGCTTCTTCTTTTGGTAACCCGAGTTTAGATTTTGTTTCTTATCTTCTTCTTTATCCTATTGACTGGGTGGCAATTAGTTTACATCTTTTTCCATCATGGCTTATAGGTAATTTCATTTTGTTAAATTATGTATTTCATTAATTTATACCAAAGTTTTCAAATTTTATGTATAACAATTATTTCATTTTATATGTTATTGGACATGTTATTAAAAGGGATGATTTGAGAAAATTAACCAAAAATGGGCGTAGCCACAAGCTATTGGAAGTCGACCTTCAAGACTTATTGTTTGTATGCGATATTTAATTTATTGTTGGTATTTATTTTTGTTTCTTAATTTTCCAATTGTTAATTCCAGTGGCAAAACAGCCTTAAAATGAGGCAGTGGAGAAGGGTCTTAGTTCCGATGCAAGATGTATAGATGGCCTTTTACGATGGTATGTTGTCGATAGTTTAGTTTTGATTATGTTAACTTAGTTTATTAAATCTAATTACTTTTAAGCTCAACATCAAAGACATAATTGATGATTTTTTTCCTGGTTTAAATTTTCAATCTACTGGTATTAGCTGATTCAATTCATTTAGAAAATTATTCAACAGTAAAGTGATGTCCTTTTTTTGTGTGTAGTATACTTAATAATGTTCCAGTATAATAGAATTTTGATCATACGATACATCAAACGTTTGTTTATATCTTTACAATATCAAAACAATGCAATTTGTTGTCCCGTGCATCGCACGGGTACAATTACTAGTTAGGTTTAATAGCAATAATCAAAGGCTTACGAGATCCTACACATGATGAAAACAAATAAAGGTTTTATATGAATTTTAATGGTAAGTTAATTACAATCTTAATTAATTGAATGGAATGTATGAACTGAAACACTTGCTCCTATATATAAGGAGATACGCAAGAAAGCTATATCTTCGGAGTAACTATATAAGCAAGTGCTCCTATATTTAGGGTTAGATGTATACTATAACTGAAATTCCATAAATAATTTATGTTTGATTTTGGTCAACTCTCAAATTTTTGAATTATTTAGGTCAATTCATGTAAATCTACAATTTCAAATTATTATTATTATTTTATTGTGGATTGAATTCGAAATATATGTTTGCTTAGAGTAAAGATTCCAAGTCTAGATCTAGGAATTATTAGAGACTTGCATCATTAAAACTCTTGTTTATTAGTTAATTAATATTATAAAATCGTGAATTATTCTTCCTCACTTCACACATTACAAATACACACACACAGAAAACCCTTATTTCTCTCGCACACACAATTCTTTAACACACATTAGTTCTGAATAGAAGATGAAGGTAACAATTCTTCCACCTCGACGGCCGAATCTCGAAGCCGACGAGATCTCAGCCATCGAAGCCCTCCTCATGCTTGCTTCCGGCGTCGGCAGAGACTCTTCACCACCACCGTCGTCCGATTCCACCGCCCTGACGACGAGAGTAATTGCCTCCAATCCGAACAAGAAGATTCATCACGAGTGTTCCATCTGCCACAAGGGTTTCTCCACCGGCCAAGCCCTCGGCGGCCACATGACCTCTCACCGCAAGATCAAGATCAAGAAGTCCTCTCACGGCGGCCCCTGCAACGCCGCCGCCCCACCAATACCCATCTTGACCAACAAGAATATCCCTAAGTGCGGCCAAAAGCGGAAACACGACAACAAGGACGACGAAGTAATATTAATAATAAAGCGGAGCGGCGATTCTAATTATAAAGATCATTATTCCCGGCCATCTCCCACCGATGAATCCGCTCGCCACGTCAGGCTAAATATTGATTTAAATTTCCCACCGGCACCTGAGTTTTTTTAATCGATTTCTACGGCAAGTGTACTAGATTTTTGTTTGGCTACGATTGTCTCTGGGATAAAGGAAATAGGGAACTACATGGAGAGGAGGGGATCCGTTTTGATGAGGTACTAAGTTGGAGAAAAAAAAAATTAAATGGATCTAGTGATCATTATCAAGAACATA